TATACTATATTATACTATATTATACCATCATATTATACTATATTTACACTATATCATACTATATTATACTGTATTATATACTTTACTGCGCCTGCTCTGGGCGGCTGCCACCGTATTGACGGCGGAGGGCCCCGGCCTTTTGCAGCGGTTAGAGCTCTGGGGTTTTGGGTTCTGAGGTTTAGGGTTTAGGGGGTTAGGCTTCTGGGGTCTAGGGTTTAAGGTTCTGGGGTTTAGGGTTTAAGGTTCTGGGGATAGGGTTTCGGGTTCTTGGGTTTATGGTTTAGGGTTCTGGGGTTTATGATTTAGGGTTTTGGAGATTAGGGTTCTGGGGTTTAGGAGATTGGGGCTCTGGGGTTTAGGAGTTCTGGGGTTTAGGAGGTGAGGGTTCTGGGGTTTAGGGTTTAGGGTTCTGGGGTTTTTAGGAGATTAGGGTTCTGAGGTTTAGGATTTTGGATCCCTGCTTAACTCGTCCGAGCCCACGGCTCGAACAAGTATCGACTTCAGCGCCCGCATGCCGAAGTCATAGTGCTCCTTCGCTTGAGTGCATCATCGACGCTTTATCGAATCATCGGCGGCCGAAGCCCCACCTGCGAAGACAGCTGCTCGGAGCTCAGACGAAGACTGCCCACAGCCTTGTTTGCACAGGTCAAGAATAGGCCAAGTCGAAGAAGAACAAGTGCCGGAAGCACATCTTTTCCCGCCTTTCGGGCCAGATTCTTGGCATCCTCAAATCCTCGCGAGGCTTCAAGCTCCAATGCCTGAAAACTTGCCTGAACCAACAGAGTTTCGGCAGCAAAGGCATCTCTTTTGTCAGCATGGCGATCATGACATGAGACGGTCCGTTGGAATACAAGACAATCTCACCGATGAGGGCATAGTCTGGGACCTGAGCTGCTCGCGAAATGCGAGGTCTCTGTCTCTGATGCTGGACCGTGTCACCCTCATTCGGCGAGGCAGCGGCCATCATGGCACAAGGCCGGAAGAGTGCCTTCGCAGGCAAAAAATGGTCGGAGACGGAGTTCGATCCCGCCCACTGCCAGCCAGCCTTGAGGTTATCCGGCAGCTCCGATCGCCCCGCATAACCTCTCCCAAGATGCAAACGTGAATCTTCACTCGCTGGCTTGCAACCTTTAGGGTTTAGGGTTTAGGGTTGAGGTTCACTGTCGGAAAAGGCCTGGATTCATGGTGATGTTCACCGCGCAAGAAGGCACCAACCTGCCCAGATGCGCCATGACTGGAGACCATTCACCATCCGCTTCCGAAGTGGGGTCCGCCTAATCTCCATCTCTTCGAACCAGAAGGTCTCCCTCTTGTCTCGAATGGCGAACTGGATTGTCTGCACCTTGAGGCAAAGGAAGAGCAAAAGGGCCATCTGTGCCGTGAGATGCTAAGCCGCAGATGAAGTAGGAAGATGCTGGCGAGTGCGGCGCCAAGGCTTCCGCATGCAATGACCGATCGCTTGTCTACCGTCTGGGTTCCGCAGTGCAAGGAGACGATGGCAATCGAGACACGCTCAGCCCTCAAAGTCCTATCAAATGATGCTCCAGCAGTTTCCAGCCGTGCACCTGCTGCGAGACCACGGACAGGACCTGACCAAGCAGTCGCTCTAACAAGCACACGCACGCAGTGGATGCTCATCGCATCACATCGCTCACTGCCTCGAGGTTGATGCGGTTGAACTCGTCGAAGCAGCACCAAGCACCGGAGGATGCGATGCCTTTGAAGAACTTGCCCATGGCCTCTGCCAGCTTGCGTTGCTCTCATCTTCAACTTCAACCAGTAACCAATCTTGTAGTCGCAGCCCTCTGAGAGCAAAGCAATGTAGTCTAAGCCATCTGAGCAATTGAAGACCTAAGCTGGACCGATGCTGGCCTTTGCACCCCGAAAGTCAATCCGAGCTATTTGTGTTGATTCTCAGCAGAAGTCGCTGGGGCCCGTGCAACACACTGCACAGCCACTGCCTTCGCCAAATCCTGCAGGCGGCTACAGATGTCACTTGCGAGCTCAAGGCAGAATGGCTTCTGCAGCTTGTGTTTTGCTTGCTGCTTTTGCTGCTTTTGGAGGAGCGGAAGAGGTTGAGGCACAGGGGAAAAGAAAAACAACCCTTGAACCCTGACGTGAATGATTCGGACAGAAGCCAAAATCAAGATTGCATCGGTTTTTTCGGAGACATTGCTCGATGCCAAGGGATTTGGGGTCCTTGGTGCTTTCCGTTTTTCCAGTGCCAGCAGGACCTTCCGGGCCACCGCCGTAGTAGAGGTGGAATGCACCCATGAGCCTGGCACATAGGAGGCTGGGAGTGCACCAATAACATGCACCAAAGAATCCAAGGATGTCAGTGGAAACAAGACGTGCAGCAAGCGACTGGTGCACGAGACCGCTTTACGGCGCGAACCCTCCCGGCAAGAGCGTTGAAACAGGTTGGGCTGACGTGCGGTAGCAACGGTCAGTCAAGGGCGTAATCACCAGGCCTAACAGCTCAGGTGCTCGAGGGTACCATCGCAATCTCATGACACCATGCCCTGTTCATCTGAGCACGGTGACGATCGCTGTTTCCCAAGTACTCGAAACCATAGTAGAGCGTGGCATTGATGATTGAGACCTGCACAGCTTCAACTTCTAGGAGCTGCTATGCTCCCACAGAGTCAGAAGCCGTACTGTTGATGATACAAATCCTGCCTTACCTTAAGGACCCTAAACTATGGGAATTATGGTATATTCCTTTTTATGGGTAATGCAGGATTTCTATCATCAACCGTATCACCCGTTCGACCTCGCACTTGTCCACCGTACTTGGCTTGCCGGTTTCCTGGCATGGCAGACAAAGGGCGGGGTACTCAAGAGGAGAGCTACACAAAGCACTCGGGCTGGCCTTTAGGGTAATCGAACCCTTCTGGCGCCAGTAGTATCGCAGCTGGGCAATCCAATCGAAGTCCTGTTGCAAGCACGTGCACGACATGAGTTTCTGACAGCACTGATACGGTCCAGGTACATGGGGAGCGTGAGTCACAGCAGGGCTGCTGTTTTCAGTGCAAAGAACTGTGGAAATTACAAGAAGCAGACGATCTTGCTTGTTAGTTGCTGCCTTGATTTGTTCCGGAACTCTGCCAGCGCTGCACCGTTGTTCCGGGCATTCACTTGGGGTGTCTTAAGTCTTGCGAGCCCATGGCGATGGAGTTCCGGGCCTTCGAGCTGGAGATCCTGGCTTCCTTCAGGCTGAGCACCTCAGGGTCTGACGAACACCACGCGTTTTGCCGTAAAAACCCCGTGGGCTTCGGGGTTCAAAGCAGTGGAACAAAGAGCAGCCGGCCACATCGCGGTTGTGGACGTCGATCGTCACCAATGCCCCGAGGGTCTGCCTCAAGGAGCAAGCGGCTCTTCCCTCTTAAGGCTCTTGCTGCGACCTCCAAAAATACATCCCAAAGCCCCAAGGCCCTCAAACCAACCGGATAGCTTAGGAGCCGCCCTAAACCCTAAAACCCTCTGATCGGAGCCCTGCACCCTGGACCTTTCTCACCCTGAAGCCAAGCCGAAACGGCCCGCCTCGCCAGCTTCGACAAATCGCCACGAACCAAATTCACGAGGCCGCTGAGCTGTTCTGGCGCTTGAGCAAGGTTGTAAAGGTCAAGGCTTCCGGCTTTTGGAAGCTTGCATGTGAGAGCTTACTTGCCGGGGCTTTATCACAGATCTGGGGACGGGTTGAAGGCTTCAGGTGGAGGGGTTTCGGGTGTCAAGGTCCAGGGCTAGCAGAATCAAGCAGTCACACAGATTCGGAATGAGGATTCACACAATCGAGCTGGCCGCATGCAGTTCGCTCACTTTCGCAACCCGCCGGGATGACCCACGCTCTTCTTGTAGTAGGCTTCGAGTTTTCCAGCCCTGGGCGGCGACTGATTCACAGGCTTCTGCTTTCCTGCACCTAGGTACTGCATTCAAGCAGCGGTTAAGACCTGTTGGCCGAAGCTGTGTTTTGTAAGAGTGGCATAATGCTGTCAGGCACAAGAATTCCCACCTAAGACTGTATCTCACACAAACTTCGGCCAGAATCCCTAAAAGCCTAAGCCCTGGACCACTGAACCCTAACGCCAGGACCCAGCTGAGGCAGCGGCTCGATGGCTACTGCAACCTCTTGGGTCCAATAGACATTGTCGATGCAGATAACGACCTCAGAGTTCAGAGTGCATCCTCATTCCCGAGACTCGAAGCTCTGAACTGAGATACCAACCAGATATCTCTAGCAGAGTCTAGCAGTATCTTTGACCGCCGGAGACATGGGAGCTTCATAGGAAAGGAAAGACTTCAAGTGCGTATCTTTAGGATCCTTCTTCTCAGGACCGGCAATACGGTAAGTAGCCCCTAAACTCTAAACCCTAAACCTTAAACTCTAAACCCTACGAAGCGCCAACTTCTCAGGGCCTGGCCTGGCCAGGCCACTCGAGCACCCACTGGGTTCCTCAGTCACGGCTCAGCTTCACGAAAGATTTTTCGGGGCTTCAGGGGGTTCAGGGGGTTTGGGGCTTAGGGTTTAG